TCTTGATATGATGATGTCTTCGGTTTTATAGCTTTCATAATGCCCTCAAAGGCAGACCAGAAACATAGCCTTTTGTGATGTGACAAGCAACGGTCTATCAGCAGCCGGAAAGAGTTGGAACCGGTGGGGAACATTGTTGGAGACCGAATATAGAGGATGATGAATATGACTTCTGTAGTTTGTTTTGTGTTAGTTGCAGCATTATTTGAATTAAGGGTACTAATGGAGTCTGATTAACTGCCTCCTGCTCTCGAGCCCTCGCTAGAACCCACATTTCGGATTTAAATCTGTACTTGAACCAAGAAGTGAACTGCTGGTCTGAGTTCCTCTGGTATAATCAAGGTTCTGCATTATAAGTAAGATGATCAAGGCATTGCAAATGGTCATTCTGTACAGGTATATTTGGAAAATTATCTCACTACGCGACGCTAGTGTACATGTGAACTTACTGTATCTTTAAGCTATATCTTGAAAGCAGCACCATCTACGAAGTCAGGACATCTACGTAGTCCACAAGGAAAGGTAGTAAGAAACCAGTGAACTCAGAAAAATGAAACTTCTAAGAAAGATTCTTCAGACAACTTTCGGTGGAAATCGGAAGAAACATCTGGAGCTAGTCAGAAGCAACCGAAATCGGAGAAAGTTGGAAAACATCTGGTGAAGTCTACTGACGCTTCCTGGAGTAGTTGTTACATCAAAATATTAAAATTAAATGGTTGAATTTATTAAATACTTTATGGCTAGCTACTGAAGAATACTATTTAAAAAATCCCTGCCTTTGAGACTAATACTACTACAGATGGCTACTACAAAATGGTGAGTTGACAACCTGGAAGGAGCGGAATACCTAGCTCTGGTCCTCACAAGTTCCTATTTCACGCCTCCCCGAGTCATATGATAACAAAAGACTACCAGCTGAAACATGGACACAGCTGGGTGGCGTAGCCTGGGCAATGTTGCCAGTCCGGCAATAGCAAAGTGAAGAGGTGCGACGCGAACACTGGCGCGTTAACCATAGTACGGTGATAGAGAGGTGCGGCTCAAAACGGCGTCTGTTCTCCATGTTAGGAGCGGCTGATCACCGTCCTAGTGCCAGCGTGGAACTCTAAACAGAGCTGCGCACGATGGTCCCCCGGCGAGACAGGGGTTGGGGCAGGCCCAACAAGCCGCCCTGGAAAAATACATAAAGGACTACGATTGGAAAATCGGAACATGAAACTGCAAATCGCTCGGCTTCCCGGGCTGCGATAGGTTAATCTATGACGAACTTCAACCACGCAACTTCGAAGTCGTGAGGATTAAGGGCCGTTTCTTCAACTACAGCATCATCAACGTGCACTGCCCACACGAAGGGAAACCCGACGACGAGAAAGAAGCATTCTATGCGCAGCTGGAACAGGTGTACGACGGCTGTTCGCGAACGGGACGTCAAAATCGTCATCGGCGACATGAACGTTCAGGTAGGACGGGGGGCAATGTATAGACCGGTAATCGGGCCAAACAGCCTGCATGCCGTATCGAACGACAACGGCCAACGATGCGTGAACATTGCAGCCTCTCGGGGTATGGTAGTTCGAAGTACCTTTTTCCCCCGCAAGGATATCCACAAAGCCACCTGGAGATCACCTGACTAGCAAACAGAAGAACAAATCGATCACGTTCCAATCGACGGGAAATTCTTCTCCGACATTATCAATGTCCGCACGTACCGCAGTGCGAACATAGATTCGGACCACTACCTAGTTGCAGTATACTTGCACTCAAAACTCTCGACGGTGCATAACACCCGTCGAAGTCGAACGCAGCGACCCAACATTGAGCAACTACGGGACGCCGGAGTAGCCCAGGACTACGCGCAGCAGCTGGAAGTTGCACTACCCACAGAAGAGCAGCTTGGCGCTGCTTCTCTTGAAGATGGCTGAAGGGAAATCCGTTCCGCCATAGGTAGTACTGCTGCAGCGGCACTAGGTACTGCAATCCCGGATCGAAGAAATGACTGGTTTGACGGCGAATGCAAACTGTTAGTAGATGAGAAGCATGCAGCACGGGCAAGAATGCTGCAGCACCGCACGCGATTGAATGTGAAGCGATACAGACAAGCGCGGAACAGACAAAACTCGGTTTTCCGAAGGAAGAAGCGTCAGCAGAAAGACCGAGATCGCGAGGCGATGGAAAATCTGTACCGCGTAAACGACACACGGAAGTTCTATGAGAAGCTAAATAGTTCGCGCAAAGGCTACGTGCCGCAATCCGATATGTGCAAGGACTTGGACGGTAACCTTCTCACGAACGAGTGTGAGGTGATTGAGAGGTGGAAGCAGTACTATGACGAGCACCTCAACGGTGAAGCAGCAGAAAACGAAGGTGGCACGGCAACAGACCTTGGAGCACGCGCAGAAGACTACAGGCTACCGGCCCCTGATCTTCAAAAAGCTGAGGAGGAGATCGGTCGGCAACAAAGCAACTGGTGTAGATCAACTACCAAGTGAGCTATTAAAATACGGTGGTGAAGCACTGGCTAGAGCGCTGCACTGGGTAACTGCCAAGATTTGTGAGGAGGAGATGTTACCGGAGGAGTGGATGGAAGGTGTCGTATGCCCAATCTACAAAAAGGGTGACAAGTTGGATTGCTCCAACTACGGCGCGATCACACTGCTGAGCGCCGCCTACAAGGTACTCTCCCAAACTCTATGCCGCCGCCTGTCACCATTTGCAAGAGAGTTCGTGGGGCAATACCAGGCGGGATTCATGGGTGCCCGCGCTACCACGGACCAAATTTTCGCGATTCGGCAGGTTCTGCAGAAATGGCGCGAATACAACGTGCCCACACATCATTTGTTCATCGATTTCAAATCCGCATACGACACAATCGATCGAGATCAGCTATGGCAGATTATGCACGAGTACGGATTTCCGAATAAACTGACGCGATTGGTCAACACGACGATGGATCGAGTGATGTGCGTTGTTCGAGTATCGGGGACACTCTCGAGTCCCTTTGAATCTCGAAGAGGGTTGATGGACTTTCGTGTCTGCTATTCAACTTCGCATTAGAAGGTGTGATCAGAAGAGCTGGGATAGACACGAGTGGCACGATCTTCGGAAGTCCATCCAGCTTCTTGGCTTCGCCGATGACATTGACATCATGGCACCGAACTTTGAGACGATGGCGGAAACGTACATCAGACTGACGGCTGAAGCTAGGAAGATTGGACTTGCCATCAACGCATCAAAGACAAAATACATGAAAGGAAGAGATTCTAGGGAAGACAATGTTAGCCTCCCACCCCGAGTTCAGATTGACGGTGACGAAATCGAGGTGGTCGATAAGTTCGTGTATTTGGGCTCACTACCAGCAGAGAAATTCAAAGACGCATTATGGCAGGGAATCGTGCCTACTTTGGACTCCGGAGGACGCTCTGGTCGAATAAAATTCGCCGCCGCACGAAGTTGACTGTCTACAAGACGCTGATTAGACCGGTGGTCCTCTACGGCCACGAGACCTGGACTATGCTCGTGGAGGACCAACGCGCCGCCCTTGGTGTTTTCGAACGGAAAGTGTTGCGTACCATCTACGGTGGAGTGTAGATGGATGACGGAACGTGGAGGAGGCGAATGAACCACGAATTGCACCAGCTGCTGGGAGAACCATCCATCGTCCACATTGCAAAAATTGGGCGACTACGGTGGACTGGGTGCATCGTAAGAATGCCGCACGACGACCCAGTGAACATGGTTCTAGAAAGTGACCCAACAGGAACAAGAAGAAGAGGCGGCAAGGTGGATCGACCAAGTAGAAGGCGACCTGCGGACCCTTCGCAGACTACGAGGCTGGCGAAGTGTGGCCATGGATCACCGGTTATCCCTGGCTTCGCTTGAAATGTACCCAATACACGAAAACATATACATTTACCACCACTACTGCTGTTGGTATTAAAACTCTTATAAAATTGATGGCGTTTGCATGACTTATTAGCGAATAGGTCCCGTTCAAATATTACGTAATGCAAGACGGGGTTGATAGTTAGCCAGACAACTCCTTACACGCCATTAAGTATGGGAAATGTGCGTAATGAGGAAGTGAGTGATGTTAAAACATTCGCTTTTTTTTTACGTTACGTAATTCAAGAACGCAACCATAGTGAATAGGTAATTTACATTGTGTACGTTATACATGAGAATTTTATATTTGAAAATAAAACCAATGGAAAGCAGACTTAATACGACATATTTTAATACAGTAAATTCCCACAACTCGATAAAGAAGAAATCATCGAGGGAGATAAATTTGGAAATTTGTAAAATGATTGAAATACTCTAGAGTTATTAGACCATCGAGTAAGGGAGAGTTGACTGTATTACAAATAGAACAGTTAATGCGATGTAAACTACCACCAACAAACGTTATGAGAAGATACAATAAATATAAATAGAACAAAAGGGAAAATCTTATCAATTTAGGATCAATTTGCCAATTGAAATTTTCCATCACGTACCGCCGCCTAGAAAAGAACATTAGTCATCAAACAAACCGTAAATAATCTGTTAGTAGGAATACGAACACATTGTTAGACCTAGCGCCAACTGCCCTACTGCTTAACAACCACAAAATTGGTTTTCGTTTTAGAAATTGTAAATTTAAATAATTTTACTAGAATTGCATTACTTTGCCTAACCGAACCAAACCGTAATCGCCATTAGCTATAATTAAATGCCATCCTGTTTTTTTGCGTATTCTTCCATTCTCTGGAGCAATTTCCAGTGCATGTGGCGTGATGCTGGATTCAGTCAGTCTCATACCACATTGCAACTGAATACATATAGGTATGCTAATTTAATAATTGATAAGCTCATGTGGACGTGAGTTCCGACCGTTTCATTCACGCTATCTATTGGCCCTGAAGTCTTCTGATCACTCCCGCTATCTATCTACACCGTTTAAGCCCTAGCTACAAAACAAATCTACTGTAAACGCTTGTTGATAAAATCAGCTTGCTTACCGGCATTGTTGGACACCACGGTCAGATCCTTGATGCCCTTCTGGACGCAGGCCCCGATCAGGTTCTCTGGAACACCGCACAGCCCGAAGCCACCCACGAGTAGCTTGGCACCATCCGGAATGTCGGCAATCGCTTCCTCGGCGGATTCGAAGATCTTGGAACGCTTTTTCGTTGTCGAGTAGCGACACGCGAGGACCTGCGGTTCGGGAGCGTCGAGAGAAGCGGATCAATGTGTTTGTTATTATATGCGGCAATGATGGATGAGATGCGGTAAATGAAACAGTAGTTGTCGGGTAGTGCCAGGAGGGATTTACAAGTTTGTGTTACCAAGCGTGGTGTACGGATGAGGGCTTGCCGGGTTGTTTTTGTTGTTCTGTGAACCTTATTTGTATATTATTATAATAGTGTCTAGAGGCTCGGCTTAGCAGCATAGTTGTTTACGGACTATGGATTGTTTTTGCGTTAGAAGCAATTTGTATTTACGAGATCTGAGAATTTGCAATTCATTTACAATGACGTCATCTATTTTAATATAAACTACCTACGTGCGCAAATCGACCATGTTCACCTGTTCATTTTTTCTCTAAACCAATAAGGTGGAACGTTCTATCAATGAGAACCATGTAAACTATAATAACGATTTACCAATGCATTTCTACATTTTCTACGACGTGCAAAATACAGTCGTCCGTTTCGACGAAAGTAAAAATAAACCTTTCCTAAGTGAGTAACCTTGCCACGCTTGCGTATGTAGCGTGAATTATAGCAATAGGTTATATATCGTTGCCGGCAGATTCAGAGACGCAGTGGATGTATAACAAAGTCATACGAATTAAAAAGGAAAGTCAAAGGAGGACCGATTTTCGCGCGCGTCAGTCTATTTTTTTGGGTGCCACCACTCTTACTTAAATTGATCCTCAACTCCCCTTACTCTTCCTTCACCTGCTGAGTTGTCAACGTTATCGGGGGAGGGTCAGTACTTTCCCTCAAGAGTTCACCTCCCTCAATCAATCGCACCATATAGTCCAAATTCTGCGCAGTGCGTAAATTTATCAAATTTATGGATGTTAACAAGCTTTAATTCAATCACAATCGGAATCATTCCGTTCAACCGAGTTAGGTAACACAACCATCAATGGACATGGTGGGGGAAACTGGACCGACTGAAAGGGAGGCGTAACACTCACCTTGGTGATTTCCAGGGTCCGCTGATTTATCCGGAAGGCGGTGAACACCTTGCCGGTGCACAGAGTCAAAGCCATTTCCGCTGTTTCTGTGTTATTCGACGATGCACCTGCACACCAAAAAATCAATCAGATCCAATTCAAGGCACGACTTTCCGGGGTGTCGGGTTTTCTCCTTCTCTCGGAACTGTGTTCACAGTTAGAACTCACAATATCGACTGATCCGCGCTTGGGAGGAACTTCTACAAGGAAGACATTCGTACAGTGCTGTCCAGAATTACTCGCGCACCGGGAGCAAGAGCAGAAACCGCAGAAACTTACCTCTACACAGACGATTATGTCAGGTTGTATTATCTGAAGCAAATGTTACTACCACGGGTACTAGCTAGACCGGTAGATACGAGATTACTTCTTACAGGAGGTTCCGTACACTGTAACTGGAAAGTACCCATTAATGGGTGAAAAAATGCCCATTTCGCGGTAAAGTAGGTAAACTCATAAAATGGGTAAAACGGCTTTACCCACTAATGGGTAAAGAGCTTATACGTCAAATCATGGGGTACTTTTTACCCATTTCCAGAACGCATTGTTTTCCGTAACTGGGTAAAAAAGTACCCATTTTTTAAAATGTATTTATGGGACTCAAATTTGTGGAATGAAACAAATATGCTTTTAAAAACGTTATAAGCTAAGAAATCATTCAAATCATATAGCATTTCTTACCTTGAAGCTTTTTGAAGCTATCACCATTCTTTAAACTATTCATATATATCACTTTTTGTAGTTTTCGGAACAAATGCACTCGAAAATGTAAACCAAGTATGTCAGCAACGTTATGGTGCAACAAAGATATTTTTCACCCAATAATGGGTAAATATGTACCCATTTTTTATCCCTGAACAGGTTTCGGAAATGGGTGAAAAAGTACCCACTATTTGAAATTTTCATTTACGCATTTTTTGACAGGTCCATACACTACCACAAAATGGGTACTTTTTCACCCATTAATGGGTACTCGCCAGTTACAGTGTATCAAGACTCACGAAAACACCGAAGGTAAGATCTCGCGCACACAACAAACAGCTGCTGCCTTCTTTTGCTTGCACAACACTCGCGTGTAAACCTTTTTTGTTTTGACGTTTGCCTGCGTCGACTCGAGTCAATTTTGAGTGGGTCTGATCGACCGTGCGCAATTGGCGTTGACGGCGACTCTGTAGCTCTTTACTCCTATGAGAAAATCCATAAGCAAACGTCAGACTGTGCGTGAAACATGGCGGACTTCGTACTATCCTTTCACTCCATCGAAAATTCCCATAAGAAACTGTCTACATTTGCTGGAAGAGCAAATTTTTCGACAGTGCCGTCAACGCCAATTGACAAAAAAAAATTTTGATCACGCGCTACCTACATTTCGAAGTGAGAACTAAGAAAATGTTTAATAGGTACCTACTTTGGAGCAGATGTCGTTAGTGAAAAAAAGTTACGATTATTTATTTTGTATGCAGAAAATCGGAAAATCTCAATTTTAACGAATTAAATTATTAATTTTAACGAACCTATCAGAAAAAAATTAAGGGGTTGTGTCCTAAACACGACCGCAGTATGACGTAGAACTACGCAAAATTGATGTATGTCATGCATTTTTGATTATTATACATTATATTAAATTTTTAAAGTATTTAAAAAAAAAAGTTATGGTTCAAAACTCGCAACCATTCATGTTAGCATAATCAGACCACGGTTCATCTAACGCATGAGACAATGTATTTCAATTTAATTTAATGGTTAAGAATTGACAGAATTTCCCCTTCATAACTACTTTGGGTTGATCACCCTAATAAAAAATAACCATAAACGAACGATAACCCAAATCATTGAACTATTCCACAAATGGTTTGGATGATACCCAGAACACGTCGTTAAGCAAATTAACCATACAATTTTTATTAGGGCAATGTTGAGTTATTTTGCTGTGATCAATGTACACTAAATTTGTCGATGTCAATGCAATAGGAACTGACACTTTTTCGTCACACATTTTTTGTTGATTTGCATCTCAGTATAGTACACAAAAACGCCATGAATGTTGTGGGATAAAACATTTGCCAAAAAATACATTATTTTTTTCAGTAGCTCCATCATTAGTTTTAAGTTAGGTTTCTGAAGCAGAGAAGAAAGTGAAGATTGAAAAATGTGTGTTTGGTGAAAAAGTCTAACTTTCTAGTTTCTAATAATACTAAAAAATGAACAATGTTCTCAAAATAGGATTTTATTGAAACGCAGGCTCATAATCAAACAAGTATTCTTGAGTAATTGCGCTAATTGGGTTCTTTAATTTTAAAAAAAGTGTGTCGATTTTTATATATCATCTGAAAGAGCTTCGTTTTTTGAGCACAACGATCTTTTTTTTTAATCTTTATTGAAGAGATTTTTAGCCTTAGGCTAGTTCATCTCTAAGCACAACGATCTAACGAAACCGTAGACTTTCATCTCGATTTTTAAATCAAACTCCACTGTGTCAAACTAAACTAACAAATTGACAGCTCACTCCCATACAAAGTCCCACTGAGGGGCGCTAAGATGGTGATATTTTCTAATGTAATCGCACTTATTTAAAATAGTTACAGTGCTCCAATTTGGATCAAATTTCGGATTTTGGTTCCATGTTTAATGTAGATTACGAATATGCCTTTACCTCAATACCCTTAAAGAACCCAATCAGAAACAGTAGATAGGGCTTCTTTCGCTATGATGCACGGTATATGCATTTGGGATAACATCCGACGCCCCTCCTTCTTTACATATTCTGCACAAAAAATACTTTCTAAGCCCCGCCCCTGACAGGATTTCCCACCGTTTTTTATGTTTTTTTTATGAATGGCGCGGGGCAGAAAGTATCTTTTGTGCAGAATTTGTAAAAAAGGATGGACTTCGGATATTTATCTGATTGCATATATAGAGGTACCAGATATGTTTTACAGTCAGTTGGTGGTAAATCACCCACAGAATAACATCAAAATATTGTGAGCGATTTTTTTCAGAGGCTAGTTGGGTAAAAACATTAACGGAATTAAACTATTTTTTACTACATTGTAGTTTGCTTGACAATTATTTCCCGTCCATGTTTTTTTCAGGTTGACGTTATAGGGGTGTTTTGCATAAATAACTTTTCCGGGTTTCGTATTAGGGGCTGTTAATTAGCTACGTAGACAATTTTTTGGGATTCTTAAACCCTTCCCCCCCCCCCCCCCGTAGTTAATGAACAGCCCCTTAGTCGAACGGGACCCAAGTCACCTTTAACGGCTTACTTGCTCCTGCTTACTGCAGGACCAAGCGCCACGCCGTCCGAAGCGGTAATGAGCAGAAGCGCGACAGCAGTGCTGTTTTACATCTTTTCAGAACGATGTGCAACCAAGTGGTACTCGATTATGATGACTGGGTTTGGGAAAAACGCTTATTTCATGAAAACAGTGATAAAATTATCATTTGTACATTTTTCGAAAGTTTTATTACAGAAAAATTAAAAAAATATTTATTTCAGAAGGTTTGTAATGTAATATCCTATCGATTAACGTATTTGGATTTTAATTTGATCTATAAATGGCAAAGTTACAAGCGTTCAAAACCTAACACTTCTTCACAACACATATTTTTTGATTTGCACCCCTGTATAGTCGACAAAGACGTAGTTCTACGTCAAAAAAGAATGTTTGGCCAGGTACTGACTCAATTTTGTACGAAGCCCAACACAGCAAAAAAAGTTGTTGTATATTACATCGAAACTGCTGCAACCAGGTCAATCCATCGGTTGTGTAATATCACATTGTACGATGTGCATCGATTTTGCGAACAAAATTACATCCATTGATGTAATATTGTTTCTGCTTTTTGCTATTACATCATTATTTCATACATCAGTTTGAATTACGTTGATCGATATTACATTTTTTTGCTGTATATACTAAATATTGTGTCTGTTCTTTCTTCAAAATTAAATATTTTTGGAGAAAAAAAAATCAATTCTCCATACATACGCTTCTATGCTTCTTTTGTTAAGATTCATTAATTTATCATTTATTTTCGAGACTTCAATTAACCATTTGCAGGCCAAATAACAAAAGATAATTTTATTTTCAACCGGCTTCAATTGACCATGAGCAGTTCCAGGTCAAATCGAATTAAACACAAACTAGGCATGCGGCATATCAATATTTTCTGAATTGTATGAACATGTGTTTAGTGACCATGCCAATTGAGTACAGTGACATTGGCCACCCAATTGTAGCATTACGCTTTAGCTCAAGTTATCCAAATCTGTCCCATCCTTTTCTTGACCCTAATAAATTTCCATCAACCACTTCTTCATTCCATAACCATTTTAAACAATAAACCAAAAGCAGACCTACTACCCTGACCTACTAGCAAGTCACCCTGTCAGCAACCTTTTTACCCAACCTTATTTTGTCAGCGCATATGCATACCAGATGTTTTAATAATAAGTTAAAGTAGGAAGCTTTGATCATGTAAACAATAAGTTCACCCAAACCCAAATCATTGAAATACAAATCAGATGGAAGACTGACACCGTAGAAGTAACACTTATTATATCCGAAGTCCGGTATGCCGCACAATGTCCCTGAAATAGTTTCCAGAGGAAATGGTCAAACTTAGATTTCTACAAAAGATGGTCATGTGGTATGTATCCAGTATTTTACGATCGCTTATGGCCGCCACAATCTGGCTGAGTTTCTGGTAGGGAACATAAGATTTGAAGTTTGGCTTGTGTCGTTTGACGTGTAAACGATCAAATTTGAACGTTTACACTTTTAGTTTTTGACGCAGGACTACGTCTTTCTTAACTATACTGGGGTAAAATTAAGACATCGAAAATGAGGCATGTAACGAAAAAGGGGGTGTTTTCAAATGCATATTTCTCCAAAGTTTTAATGTGAAATATGTCATGCAATATACCATTCGACGGGGAATTTATCCAGAAATTTTTTGGCATATGGTACAAAAAGTGAAAATAGTTAAGAAATTTAACGAAAATTTGAAGCATCGAAAATTCCCATACATTTGCTAAGATCACAAGGAACAGAGCCATCACATAGTTGGTACTAAACGGAACAAACCGAAGCCGCATTTCCATTTGTATCGATCAACACAGACGGAAACCGGACCGGAGGAAAGGCTCCCCGCAAGCA